TCTGTCTGTCTGTCTGTCTCCCTCTGTCTGTCTCTGTCTGTATGGATGTATGTATGTATGTATGTATGATGTGTGTGTGTGTGTGTATGTGTATATAGTGTCTGTGTGTCTGTGTGTTGCGCAAATGTATGCGTGGATGTAGGTATGTAGGTGTGCATGTATGTACGTATGTATGCATGTGTGTACATAAGTGTTTACACATGTACGTGTGCATGTATGTATGTATGTATGTATGCATGTATGTATGTATGTATGCATTTATGTATGTATGTCTGCATGTCTGTATGTGTGCTTGTATGTCTGTACACCTGTATGTATTTGCATATGCATGTATGAATGTATGAATGCATGAATGAATGTATGAATGTATGTAGGCATGCATGCATGCATGCATGCATGCATGCATGCATGCATGCATGCATGTAACTGTGCATGGATGTGCGTATCACGACACATACAGACATGCACATAGACTTGCTTGTGTGTTTACCTTTGAAAAGAGCGGAACATCTATGAGGCTCTTAGAACACAACACAGCAGGATGCCCCCCACACACACACACACACCTACAAAGTAAAGATGGTAAAACCAATCGAAACGGGACGAAAGGAAATGTGGTTTCATCAGAAATCTCGTGATAGGTACCAGTGTGCAGCAGGCAACATCAAAATTTTTTGTTCTTGCAACATTAGCAACGAAGCAACGAGTAAAACGAACCAAGCCATCCATGATCGCCCTATAGAATTCGATAATGCACATCAGTTCTGCCTCTCCCTGACAATGCAGGTGGCAACAGCCGTTTCGAGTTCCTCCTGGCACTGCAGGCTTCAGGGTTTAGGTTTTCGCATGTTGGGTTGTTTCTGTAACTGTTGCTTTCCTGGGTGGGGGGTGCTGGGCCTTCAACCCTAACATACCCAGGCACTGACAGAAGTTATGAGGTGAGGTGTATTGTTCTTTGTCTTGCGAAGACTTCGCGATTCGCAACGAGTCGTGCCCTCACAGCAGGTGTGTAAAGTACGACGTCTGAGAGGACGAGTGTTGATCTGCGGTTGAGACTCTTGATAGGCACGTCAAGACCCTATCTAGGTACGTAGCACTGCAGTTTTGAAGGAGTCGTCGGGCTTCGGCTTGGCGCAACTGGATCAGCAGCCCTGGGCATTGGGGTGCAACTGGCAGAAAGAAGTAACCTATCTGTCTACGGTGTATGAATACCCTAAAACCCGAAAACCCTAAACCCTAAACCCTGCCTACAAACGGCCTGGATACCATGAGTACTCCTACTTTTGGGAGCTCTCTCCGACTGGGGTCTGACTGTCCGACTAGGCAGTATAATGATGTCAGGCTTCAGGGCTCAAGGTTTGAAGTACATGGGTTTTGGGGTTGTTGGGTTTAGGGTTTAAGCTTTTGGGTTTAGGGTTAGGGTTTAGGGTTTAGGGTTTACCTTAAACCCCAAACCCTAACCGTTTGAAAGCGCCATGGCAGCCATGGACATTGAGAGAGACTTGTGAGCAGCCAACAACGAAACTGCAAAGCCGTGGTATGAAACCTTAAATCGCCGAGCTGCTGCAGGTCGTATGGCTAATGAGGCTACCAGTCACAACAGAGATCTGAATGCAAAAGCAAATCCTACCTATAGCCTTTTTTTTAGCTCTTTTTCTGGCAAAGCTAGTTTTAATGTAGGATCCTAGAAAACACAACTACAATGCAGACTGCAGGTAGGTCGGAGACCCTGAGTCCAAAATGCATGCCTTGAATCGGAAGCCCTAAACCCCTAAACCCTGAACCCTATACAATAAACCCTAAACCCTAAAACCCAACACCCTAAAACTCTGAACCCTAAAACCTAAACCCTATCCCTAAACCCGTGGGGCTCCTGCACGTCCGGTGCACATGCGCGACCAAATGCTGCCATCGACCCTGCCACAGGGTTTAGGGCTTAGGGTATAGGGTTTAGGTTTTGGGTTTTGGGGCATAGGGTTTAGGGGCTGCAGGGGATCAGACTGACATTATAGAGTAAGAGAAGAGCCTTTCATGATCGGAGGCAGGTCTGGTGTGTGTGTGTGTTATAGTATCATGGCACGGAGACAATAACGGAACACTATTTCTATGTGTGTGTGTGTTACAGTATCATGGCACGGCGACAATAAGGGAACACTATTTCTAATTGGGTCTTCGGGGAAGATTTTCGCACACCGACATCGGGACTGTGCTACTATCTATTTCGGCGTCTAGGCTTCATTGATGGGCCGAGGGCCTTCGCCCTAACTGGGATTGAAAGCACCAGTGGGTGGTTCAAACTTCTGTTTCCAGGAGTCTGGAAGTTCTTGGTTCAGGCCTGTAGGGCTTGCACTTTGTAGGGTCCAGGGTCTTAGGGCCCTGGCTTTGGGGTGTAGGGTTTACTACTACTACTACTACTACTACTCCTACTACGACGACGACTGCTACTGCTACCACGACTCACCACCACCTCCCGGAGTCGAGCCCCGAAGGTAAAATCTTGGCAACCACGACCCGGGATGCTTAGGGTTTAGGGCTTAGGGTTTAGGGAGCCTAAACCCAAAACCCCAAAGCCCCAAACCGTAGAGACGGTTTAGGGCTTATAGGGTCTAGGGTTTAGATGACACTCCGTTTGGGGGCTCCTTGTGTTCTTGAGGCTGGCTTGCTTTGGGAGTCGCCTCCGGGCCTCACAGCCTCTCTCAGCCATGTTGTAGCCACATCCATCCCGGGGGGTTCCATGTACCCAAAAAAAATAAATGTATGCATATATATATATATACACATACGAATGTACGGATACAGGGGCTACTTGAAGACCAGGGTAATATACTATTTGGACCCTAGCTCCCTAAACCCTTTTTCCTAACAGGTTGCTAACCCCGAATCCATGAACCGGAAATTCTCACCTCTCAACCCCCCGAGGCAGAGAAACTCCTACCCCTAAACCCCCATGAACCCTACACTCTACACCCCGAAGCCCTCCAGCCTAAACAGTGAGTCCCGAGATCCCAAACCCTGGCCCTAATACCCCTAAACCCTAAACACCCTAAACCCTAACCCCCCTAAACCACCCGAACCACACTGCCTGCTGCCAGGGTTTCAGCACCCAGCGCTGTAAGGAAGCGTCGCTCGGTCGTCTTTGAGTCCCGGTCGCAGAGGCTGATCTAAGTTTAGGGTTTTTTCGGGTTTAGGGTGGTCTAAGTATAAGTCTAGGCGTCGGAATGATGGTGATGATCCATTTTCGGTAGCACAGACTGCTTCTGAAGTCTTGAACATACTGACCATCAAGCATCTATAGTAAAGCTGTATGTGGACTCGTGGAAACACAACCCTGCACAGTCGGATCTTCGACCTCGAAGCCTCAGTAACTGACAGAGGGCCGGAACGCCACATCGCTCAGCGGCTGCAGCAGCTGCTAGCTGCTCCTTCTCATGCGCAGCTTATTTTTGGTGGGGATCCCTTGATGATGCAAGGAGATAGGGATGCTAACTAGACCATCCTAGAGCTTAAGATCCTGCGAAACTCCCATGTTGGAAGCTGTGCTGACTGCATGCGAAACGTGCCACGTCAACCCAACACCCAACGACTCCGTCATTTTCTGTTGAAACTTGGATCCAGAAAACTCACTCGCGAACGAGCTGCCAGCTACATCTCTCTCGTCCTAGCGGTGATATTCATCTGTTCGCCTGGCTTGCTTCTTGCATCCGTTCATGGCTGCACCCCTCGCCTGCCCCTAGTAAGACGCAAAGACATCAGGGCCTTTAGGGTTTAGGGTTTAGGGTTTAGGGGGCCCTAGACAAGGCATCTCACATGAACACGACGCCCAGACCATACCCATGAAGTTCCAAAATACGGGGCCCTTGATAATTGGGATGCAGGTTTGAGGCATGTTGTACCACAACCCTAGTAAGGAACCCGAAGCAACCATGTTCGCAATTGTTTAGGCCCTTATAGTGCCTTGCTCCTCTTGATTCCTTGGAGCTGTAGTCTTAAACCGCCAGATCCCTAAACAGGTCAAGCCTGCATGGCTTCCGCTCCCTGTAATTAGAGAGAAGCCTTTGCTAGAACTTCAAGGAACTTGATACATGGCCATCGAGATTGCCAGCTTAGTAGCTTTCAGACGTAGAGTACCTCTGCCACATCAGAGCGAGAAAAGCGAAGCACCTCACCGCGGCTCAAGCCCGGCAATTCAGTGGTTCACTTCGCAAAGGCGTCCTTGAACTTGGCGCTCCGATTCATTGCCCACGTTTGGCCTCCGGCTGAGGAGCAGTTCAGATCCCCTGGCCAGGCATGACATGCCACTCATTTGTAGGAGTCGTTATCGTCCGTGATGGTCGCCTGAAAGTGCTCCTACAGCTTCACGCTCTTCATGTTCTTCCTTTCGTCGACTTTGTTGCAGGCATCCCGCTTCATCAGGGGCCACTGCAGTGCCGTCCCTCCACCGCCACCCGCCACTGTGGACATGATGACCCGAAGTATAGGACTTCTATTTCGGGGAGATAGAGTAACCTTGAGCCCGAACATCGGGCACTGAATAACGGGAAAACTGTGATAACTAGCTATAAGACTTCTTACACGGGACTTACCCGAATCTAAACCCGAATACCTAAGCCCTAAACCCCAAATATATCCCCTGCCCTAAACCTTCCATGTGAGGCTTAGACTTATGCCTAAACCCTAAACCCCTGAACCCTAAGTTAAGCCTAAACCCTAAATCCCTGAGCCCTCACTGAAGCCTAAACCCTAAACCCCTGAACCCTAACTAAACTTCAAAGCCAAAACCCTAAACTCAAGACACGAAAATCTCGCAGCGTCCCCGCTCATGTAATCTAGGGGCTTGAATAATTAGAATAGGGCTTTGTTAGGATAATCATAATGGCAACAATGTCAATACTAATGAAGAGCCATCACAAACATAGTGAAGACTACGAGAGATCGTGTTCCAATACGACTCTACCCATAGGCTCCTTAGTAGTTCCTTTTTGGGATTTCCTTATAGGATTCTAAATATGAACCATAAAAAGGAACTACTTAGGAGCCTATGGGTAGAGTATAATGTTCCCTAAACCCTAAACCCTAAACTCTAAACCCTAAACCCTAAACTCTAAACCCTAAACCCTAAATTAGGCCCTTGTGTTGTCGCTGCCGGGCTCCTTGCCGGAAGGAAGGCGCTCGAGAAGTTGATGCCTAGAGGGAGGCACGGTTTCGGCTCTAGGGCCTTTGAGCTTTTTTTTCCATGGTGTTAGAAGGTTTGGAAGCTTTGGATCATTGGACTAGGGTTTCGTATAGTTGTGCTGCCTAAACTGTACTAAATAGAAGCGAGCACGCCTCGGATTTAATATTTTGGCTACGGAGCAGCTGCTAATGCCTCCAGCTCCTTCTAGAGGTTATACTACTCCGGATCGTACCTGCGTGGAAAAACCCAACGTCTTATTTGAGCTCAGGTCTACTTGATCGTGCCTGTGTAAAGATGTAGCTTCTACCAGTAGTGTGCAAGGTTTGAAGGAGGGGTCATTATCAAGATGCATACTTGTCTTATGTTGCTCAAGCTATCACGCTTGGATCGGAGCATTGGGTTCCTCGGACATGTACTTACCACCTTGCTTGAATCTGCTAGACCCAGGATCGCCTATTTGGGAGAAACGTCCCAGGACACCGGTGCTGCTTTTCCAGTGCTGCCTTGGGAGGCTTGGTGTGTCTTGCTTACTGCAGAAGCAGCTACTGTTAAAGGAAACTACAGGTGGGTAGGGTATATAGGGCAGAAGGCTTCTATAAGGTATAAAGACCTTCTATAAGGCTCCTATAACGGTAACTACCCACCTGAAAATGTCCTAGATACTGCAGAGAGGGAGAGACTCTTCCCTATACTCTCAGAATGGAGTACGCAAGCTCTAAAACCAAATCCCTGCCCGACCTCAACTCTCTGTCCAACCCCGCTGCTAAACCCTAAACCCTAAACCCGAAACCCTCTAAATCCTGTTAGGAAGATCGACACTCTAAGACTCCAAGACAGAAGCCTCCACAGTTGACAATGCTGTCCTTAGCTATAGTCTCCATTGTAGTTCCTTTTTGGGGTGACCCTTTGGGTTCCTTAATATAAAATTGGTTAAGCCATAAAACAGGAACTACAATGGAGACTGTCCTTAGGGTTCAGTCCTGTCGTCGGGCGCGAGGGCCAAGAATGCTCCCACACCGAAGGGAAATAGGCGCCGAAACCGCCTCATGGTGAGTTATGGGCTGACTGTGGTTCTGGATACCATAGGGGCCCAGCAAGAATGGCTTCTTTTTTTTTTGGGTGTGTGTGTGTGCGTGTGTGTATATTCTATACTTCTTATATAGGGATGTTCAAGGGGAGACTATTGCTAAGTATTCCGACCCGAGTTGCCTGTAGAGCTTCATAGATCTTCCAGATGTTACTTTCATTGTTTCTAGAAGGGCTGCTATAATTCGGGTTACTGTAAGGGGTATCGCCAAGGGGATGGCCCAAATAACGTGTTGTAGCATAGCCAATACAAGCGACTTAGACCGATGTGTGTGTCAGCTTTAAGTCTTTAAGAGGAAGTATAAGTGGAGTGCGGCTGACAGCTTCAACAGATGTGCTTTGAGCATTACAGCGCTTTCTGTCAGTTGCGGGGTCCCGTAGCTTTAACGGTTGGACGGGCAAGCATGCAACACAGTGAACTACTGCACTGGGCTGTGTTGGATAGGGTCAAAACTAACAGCAGTCTCTGCTTGAAAGCAGCCGGAGGTTGTCTGCTAGTTGCAGCCACCGCTCCGGACTTTCAACATGATGCCATGACGATGATGATGATGATGATGATGATTGATGTTTCGGATGATGATACTGGGATGAGCGACTACACCCTAAGCCCCTAAACCCTAAACCCAACAGCAGAATTTGAGGAATTGACACTGCGTGGCGCATCGGCCCCATCCCTGCAGGCAGCCGAAAGATTTCCCTCTGAGTCTTAGTTTGTGGGCTGAGCTAAAACCCATAACAAAACACATGCTGTTCTAACTAACCCTTGCATTTATCTTCCAGCAAAATCGAAGAGCTTTTAAAGAACATCCACGTTCTGTGCCTGGCACAGAGTTCCAGGCCAACGTTGCACGGCTTCAGCGACATGATCGCTTGATCCACCTCTTCCACAGACATGAACATAGACTCCTCTCTGATGCGAAGTTTGAAGTATTTCTGGGACCAATGAAACAACGATGTCTGCCCTCAGCGAGAGTACTTGTTAATTATCTGCTTTACCCGTACCCATGAACCTTCAGGTAAGGTCGTATTCCCAGCGAGCCTGGTGCGCAATATCCTCGGAGTCGTGAAGGGCCCCAACCAGGACCAGCGTTTCCAGTCCTTCCTATCCGAGACTGTTAGGCGCTCAAAGTTCAAAGTTTTGTTCAATGTTCAGGGTCCTAAGCCCCCACAGCATCACTACGATGCAAGAATGGGTTTTCAATTCCTGGTTTTAAAGTAACGCACACGCACAAACACTTGCACTACACTCCACTCCACTCTACTCCACTACACGTCACCTCCCCACATTGCATTACATGACGTTACACTACAGTACATTTACGTTGTTTCTCCCAAGTAAGTAAGCAAGTAAGTAAGTAAATAAATAAGTAAGAAAGAAGGAAAGTAGGTAAGTAACGGTGTATGTATGTAGGTATGTATATATATATATATACACACACATACATACGTACCTGTACTTTCTATACCTATCTAAACATGTTGAAAACAAGTCCCCACGCTCCCCCGGTCCGGCCCCTTGTGCAACATGTGAAGATGAAGGGCGGGCAGCGTCCGACTTGCTTCGGCCATCCAGTCGTCAAGATCTTGTCCTGTCTTCGGGCTTTGCCTCTTTCAGTTTGTACTCATGCTTGTCTATATATACAGATTACATATAACGTACATACATATATAAATATATGTATGAATATAATATATGTATCTATACACACACACTGTACTATAGTATACGTATTATACAGTATAACATAACTTGTATACTATACATATTACATATTTCCTTGGCTTGCTGTAACCTTGTTCAAACATCCTAAACAGGTTGGAGCCCCGAGTGTGGGACCAGGGGGCTTTCACAGTTTGGAGTCTATATGGGGGGCATTGGTGGTCTGAGGCTTTAAGGTTTTAGGTTTAGGGTTTAGGGTTAGGGTTTAGGGTTTTGGGTTTTGGGTTTTGGTTTCGGGTTTAGGGTTTAGGGTCTTGGGTTTAGGGTTTAGAAGTGGTTCAGGTTTCACTTGGAATGTTCGGAGGCTCTCTGCGGCAGCCTTGCGACACAAATTCTAGAGCTAAAACCTGGAGGGTCTAGGGTTTAGGGTTTAGGGTTCAGGATTTACAGGATTTATAAGGTTTGGGGTCAGGGTTTCGAGCCTCGATCCGTTGGGGTGCGGGGTGGAATAAAGAAGTTCCCGGAACTACATCAGAACACCGCTGGTACAAACAACTGACCAATGAACTCGACTGCTTTCAAATAAGTTGTACTTTCTGTGATTTGTGTGGACTCCTTCTGGGGCACGCCCAGAGCACTGGGCCAAGCTGTGGTTGTGTCATTCTCGTTTTTGTCAGCATTATTGAGATTGAGGGTCCATTGAGGGTGCCCTAATTGGGGAGGGGGTTGGCTGAAACAGGACTAGTCTATCATTGCAGTTCCTGCTGAAAGCTATTCGCGTTTTGCATCGTTTGCAACGCTGCTGCAGCTGCTACTGCTTGCTGCTGCTGTTGCCATTGGTGGTGTTGGTGGTGGAGGTAGCGTTGGCGGCGGTGCTTCTGCTGCAACTCCGTTTGCTGCTTCATTGACTATGCGAGACACCGTCTTACTACGAACGATTAGAGCATGCTTTCTTTTTCCTAAACCCTAAACCCTAAACCCTAAACCCCTAAACCCTACACCCTAGAGGTGTGTTCCCGTGCTGCCGGGGTACGACTATGGCTTCTTGGAGACCTCGGCGGTACCGGAGAAGACAGCGCGCTGCGAACCTGACCAGGGTTCGACCAATCATAACGTAGAAGCAGCCCAAAACCCTAAGCCCTAAACCCTAAAGCATGAAGACAATTGCTTCCATCTTGCACAAAGCAAGTTCTGTTCCCCATCTACACAAGAAAGACTTCGTTATCTAGTTTCCTCTGCTATCTTCATATCCTGTGCTGCGACTGGTGGGTGAAGGAGAATTGAAGATATGGCGTGCCCTCTTGGCGCGAGTAGACATATTTGTCGGAAGGACTAGTAGTCACCAGCCCACGAAGCCTGGAGTGTGGATTTGAAAATAAAACCTCTCGAGGCTCTATGGACCGGCGGGTGGGCTGTAGACAGCTTGAGAGTGCCCGGTCAACAACAGTGGTTACTGATGACATGAATGCAACCCGGAATTACGAATCACCGGCACTGAAACAGCAATGTCGGTGAATGCTCTTCTTGCAACGAGTCCTAGGTCCTAGTCATGTATTCAGCAGTGGTTCTTGTAGAAGAGCTAACACTTGAAACACAAGATTGGAGTTTCAGAACATCAAGAACCTGTAGTATGCAATAGTATGCAATACCGTACTTTATTATACTATACTTCTATACTTTACGATGATATACTATAAAGTCTGCCAGCCGGAGCCGGACGAGTTTCCTGTAGCTGCTGTGCAGTGGCTCTTCAATGTGCGCTGAGAGGATTCCCTCGGTTTAGAGTGTTTCGGGATCCTGCCCAAACACACACAAAGGCGATAGGGTTTAGGGTTTAGGGTGTAGGATTTACTGCAGAGTGCACGAGATAGCTTCCAAGACGGCATGCACGCATTGAGCCAGAGGACAGTAGTATGCTCAAAGCCTTGTTGCAGCATAGACTTGCACTCCATCTCGCAAACCCAAAAGGATAGCTTCAGAAAGGGAAATTCAGCTGTGGCTTCTCTTGGGCTGGAGGTATTCCAGGCATGGCTGGAATGAGGGTTGAGGATTTATGGTTCGGGGTTTAGGAAATGAGAGTTTCAGAAAGTGAGACGGTCATGAAGGTTCTCGTCATGAGCGACCTAGAAGCGAACGGTTGAAGCCGAAGAAAGAACCTGGAGTTGCATAAGTTAAGTTGGGGGGAGACCCTAACCATCAGGGTCCATGCACGAATAGAATACCAAGTAGTATATACTTGCGTAGGCCTTAAAGGAGTTTCTTTGTAATAGCTACTTCAGGAGCATGGACCGTTAATGTACATAGGACTCGACGCAATCGGATCCGAAGAAGAACCCCCACAAGAAAACAAGCGACCCTACCTTGCTTTGTCTGAAACCCTACAAACTTTGCTTTGTCTGAAACCCTACAAACCCTAAACCCAAACCTGTATCCTGAATCTTCAACTCTAAATCCTAATGCGGCCTGCTTCCAGAAAACACGCTTCGACTGCCATCTTCCAGTTTGCATCATTCCGCGATGGCTGCAGGAGGGTTTGGGGCTTAGGGTTTAGGGATACTGAATCGCTAATTCGCCGCTTTGTAACAGGTGTCTTAAACTCTTACAACAGGGTTATCCTATCCCGGGCTGTCTCTTATACAGATCCTACTATTTGGGTGCATGATGATGAATGTTTGGGTGTGCCATCGGCAAGGGATCAAAATTTCAGGCTTAGCGCTTTTCCAGTCGAAACACATTCTTTCGATCATGAGCTCTTCGTGCTGCGCACTCGAGTAAAGAAGCCGTTTTTTTCGAGAATCCGCACAACAACACGGCTCGCTGAGAAACCAAGCCCTTTAAATCTGCGTCGAACAACTGATAAGACCACAAGCAAACACTTGTGAAACTGAACTGGGTGTCTACTATGACACGGCTCCTGGCGACCATGGTGATGGTGACGGACGACGACGACGACGACGACGATGACAATTGCTGCTGCTACTCAGCTACTCCTACTACTACTACTACTACTCCTACTACTACTCCTACTACTACTCCTACTGCTTCTGCTACTGATACTGCTATTACTGCTGCTGCTGCTGCTGCTGCTGCTGCTGCTGCTACTGCTACTGCTACTGCTACTGCTCCTGCTCCTGCTCCTGCTCCTGCTCCTGCTCCTGCTGCTGGTGCTGGTGCTGCTGCTGCTGCTGCTGCTGCTGCTGCTGCTCCTGCTACTACTACTGCTACTGCTACTGCTACTGCTACTGCTACTGCTACTGCTACTGCTGCTGCTGCTGCTGCTGCTGCTAC